TTCAGCAGTGTTATACCAAAAAAATAACCTGTTTCCAAACTGCCTGGAATCATCATATATTAGAATGGTATTCAGTATAAACGCACACAAATATCAACATCAACACATTAAAAATCCTAAGACTAACTTAAAATTTTTGCTACAATGTTTGAATATATATTTAAAATATATTGACAATAAAGACAAACTTTTAAAAAAATCTAAGAAAGTGTTACGCATGGCAGCAAATATAAACATATGCTTAGCATATAAGCAATTCTTACTGAGCTATAAATTGCTAATTAAATGAATATGGCTAATTACAGTCAGAACAATGACTGAAGGTTAAAGGCAAGAGTTAAAAATGTCATGTCTACCCTTGGATGGAAATGTGCAGCAGACATTCAAGAACAAGCACTGAATGGCACCTCAGGACCGCTTTTTCTGCTTCTAGAAAGAGTTATAGATTCACCAGATAGGAAATAATTAGAAAAAATTATAAATTCAACTGAACAGAAATTTAGATTCACAGTAACAGAAGCAGAAGATATCATCTAATTAATCTCTCTTATTTTGTTGCATTTTCCCCTGCATTTTCCCAGTAAAAATATCTTAATTCTAGAGATCTAAAATTGTATGAACTTACCTGGAAAGAGTAGGACTCTTCAGTTACTTCCTGTGGAAAATAATCAGCATTAAAACCGAACAAAACAATGTAAACAAAGGAAACACTTGTTGGACGTTCTTACAATAATTGAACATTATAGGTAATGATACACTACCACATGTATGGTATGATACCGTGTTACAGATATGCCTTTCTAATACACAAGAAAACCCTTAATGTTTTTTAATATCTCATTCCCCCAAAATATAGATTTCAGAGAAGAAAACAATGAATAATCTTCCTCATTCACAATATCCAGCAAGAAACACTGTCAACAAGAGGAAAAATGAGCAACAACTTCAAATTTGTAAAATGACGACTGACTTAAATACAACAGAACATGCACGGACAATAAGGAAATACATTAAAATCTGAAAGTTACTGACAACAAAAAAACAGAAGAAATGCAAAGTTTCATTTACCAATTTTAAAACAATTTAACAAAATCCATTACAGTCTTTTGTATTACAGCCATAATAATAAGTTAGGAACACAAAACAATTACGTACTTCTAAAAATCTGAGAGAGGACTGTATGAGTAACTGAAATGCAGGCATATGCTACCAAAATAAGATTTTTTCTGGAGGAAAAATGAAACAATAGTTTCTATAAAGTTACAGTAAAAACCCTAAGGTGTTATCTTTTAGAAGCTGGATCTAGAACAGTAATCTACCCATTATTAAAGCAAACAAAAAGAAAGTTTTCTTATAGTTTGCCTGAAACAAAGTAGTTGAATAAAGCTATAAAATTATCTGAATTCTTTGAGAAAAAAGATTATTGGGCACTTACGGATAGCACAGAAATACAATGTTTAAAGAAAAGTTTATCCTACTTTATCAGACTAGAGGTATTTCACCATCAAACTACCGATTCATTTTGCTTTGAAGATAGTTCCAAGTTTATTGTTACTTGTCTATTCATCATGTATCCCAGAGGTTCTCAAATAAAACTACCAAATATCCAAGTATTCAATAAATACTAGTACTTCCATTATGCAAGTCTTAAAAAAAAAAAAATCACATAATTCAAGTTATTGCAAATAAATACCTAGCTATAACTTTATAAATACTTAAATAAAATTCTGCCAAGTACGGATTAGCCTCCTAAATATACAACTAAACTAACAAATCCCTTGTCTAAAAGTCAGAAAAATAGTTCAGAAAGGTTTATTTTTGGAAAGTTAGACACCTATAGATTGCTTTTAGGGCAAACTCAAAGCACACTATTCCCTGCTTCCCAATGCTCTGTGCTAGCTATGCTTCTTTGGTTAGTTAATGAGTTACAGACTTAAAACCGCCTTTTTTTGTTTAAATTTTAAAATCCAGATACAAAAGTATCTCAATGAGAAAATCATAGAATCATGATATGCATATGCTCTCAGATTGCAGGTTACAGAAATCAGTAAATCCTCCTCAACTCCTTTCTGTTCTCAAGATACATATGCTGTTTTCCCTCTGTCTAGAATAATGTTCTTCAACATGGAGGGCCTCAGCTAAAAATGCAAATTCCCATCTCCTTTACAGCAACAAGTATATGAACAGATCTATCCCTCTACCAGAAAATTTAATGGAACTGTCAGTTGAAAGCATGGAAGGGTCACCGATCTACAGACAGGAGTTACGGTTAGTACAGGAGACCCATTGTTTTCCAAAGCTGTATGACATCCTACTCAAAAGCAAAGAGCACATATTCATTCTTTCCATTAAACTGATGCTTATTGACATGTATTGACAGGCGCACCTGAAGTATTAAAACTGGGTTATACACAACAGAACTCCAGCAACATGGTGATTATTGGCCTATTTGGTCCCTTCCTGTGCAACTGGCTTTAAAGTGTTCCCAACCCGCTGCTTATGTTTTCTGGAGAAATGCCCCAAGGAAGTAACTAGTTATATCACCTGAACATTCCTACTACTTTGATTAATGAAATTAAAAGTATTACCATGTAGGCCAAACTGCAATTCAGATATTACTACCAACACTTCTCCAATCATTTCAGAGTCATGCACTTCCCATTCTATGCTAAGCAACGCTGCGAGCCACTGTTCTATGCATGTATTTTACCTCATGTTGTATTTCAGTGGCAAAATGACTAAATGTAACTTTTCAAAGACTTTGCCACATTTAGTGTTATAGGTAAAAGGTTTAGTATTAACATAGAATGCCAATTTAGGGTAACACAAGACAGTTTTGACTACCAGGTAGCAGAGGTCCTGCAATTATGGCATCCTGAGATAGATTCACAGTTCATAAAGCTTCACAAGCCCTTAGCATAACTCTGAAATTTTTTCATGTCTTGCTCTGATACGATAAACAAACAAAAAGTTGATAACCCATGTCATTGCCAACAGAAGGGAAACTATTTTTACTTGGCCTACATAAGTGTAATTTTTCCTTTCCTGTTTACAATACTTCATTAAAAAAACTCAGAGCACTCCTACAGAATCTCCTTATCAATCCACCGCTAAAATGTGGAAAAGAGGATGAGGTACTTTGATAAACATTTTAACACACCTTTCTCTTCACAGTGTGTTCATTAGCACAAGACAGAAGGGAGAAGGAGGGAGGAGGAAATCATATATTTCTACCACTTGCCATTCTGTAGGCAAGGGACTATTGACATGTAGTCGTATAAATGTGTAGCTTTACAAGTGTAACATGTAGATAAGAAGTCACTGTACGTTAATATCCATTGTGAATAGGTCTCCTGAAAACAAGCAGTTTTTAAGACTGCTTTTTTTGTTGTTTATTAGTTCTGGCTTTTTTTTGTGTGTGTGTGTGTTTCTGGCTATGTGCAAATAATTCAATAAATGCAGTGTTTGTAACAATTTAACTGATCTAAGTTCTAATCGCATCTGGGTTTCTTTGTGAAGTTGGGGTTTTTTTGGTTTAAAACAGAACAACAGTATCCTTTTATATTTATCTATTGCACAAGTAATTACTTTTTCCTTATGTATACTATTAAGTAATTCCACTACTAGACTGAATAGCTCCAGAGAACACATTTTGGTCTGTTGGCTGAAGGACTCCCAGAACAAAAGAAAAATAATAATAATTTTAAAATCTCTAATTAAGCCATTACATAGAAATGTACTGAAAAAGCCTTGGAGAGTTCATGTAAACAACACTGGTTTAAAAAACACCTCTGTAATAAAGTACAGTACAGTATACAGATGATATACCATAATAGCTCCATATGGAGCTGTTACAGACAACAATGATGCATTTAAAATGTTTATTATGGGCTTTTTTTTTTTAATTGTGGTTAAAAAAATCCCCAGAGGCTATTTAAAGCACAAAAACTACTTTAAAGGTTCTACTGAGAAGTTGATTTGTAATCAATAAAAATAAAAGGAATGAACATTACCTCTGAGCAAGCACTCCATCATAACCCTACTCTTAGTACCAGGTTAATGCAGCAACCTCTGGCCTGTGTTCACAGTTATTGCATCTGTTGGAACACTACAGGCTGTCCTGATGAAGGCTGGAGTATCAATCCAGATTTTCAGCTTTCACTCTGAATTTCTCCCTTTGTTAACTTTCTCACCTAAGTACACATTCTTACAATAGTTTTATATAAGCAACAGAATTATAATATTATAATTTAATAACAGATTTATGCTATTAAATCAGCCTTCTAAAAATATAAAAATATTTGACATTGTGAAAGCATCTTTCAATCATACTTCAATGTTCACAGTTTTAATGAGAAATACCTAATTAGAACCATCACTTTAGAGCTATGATGTATATTCAGCTGATTTAATGTAAATAGACAGTTAAAAACATATCTACTATGATTAAATATAGTCAAATTGCAAAAACATACAATCTGACAATGTTGTCATGTGCTCTTTCAAAGAGTGCATAGGACATATTTCTGCAGCAGTCAATACAGTGAATTCTTTTGATGCAATCCCAGTCAAAGCTGTAAACATTCCTAATTGCAGTTTCTCAGAAACTTTTTGTTCCTTTCAAGTTTTTATTAGCAAGTTGCACCGGGCATTCCCCTGCCATTTTTTTTTCCCCCATCAGTTACAGACAGTATCATGATCCACCTTCGACCCCTCTGGCTGTTCAAAACTACTCATAAGCATTTCTTTAATAGATTCCAGGTAGTAATCCTTTCCTTGCAGTGCACAATGATACTTTCCACATGCCATTGTTAGCAAGGACCCCAATGCATGATCTTGAGAAGCAGATTGATGAGGAAGTCTGCTATGCCTTAATGGGATTTCCTGCAGGTTTGGGATCATAACCGTATAGGAAAGTGGCTGCTATTACAAGGACGGCTCCGAAGAAAAAGACACTGAATAGAATAGGGATGAAAAAAAAAGTTAGTTCGTTTTAGTTGATGCAATTTTATTTATGTAATAGAATCGAAAGAAAGGATATTTTTCCTGTGGGAACACAGAAAGATAAACTACATTTGTCCAGTTTATAAAGAACAAAATAATTGGCATATATTTATTATAGACAGATACAGGAGGAAGTTGAAACAAGAAGCTTACATACACAAAGTAATGTATCATTATGACGTATTCCCAAAACTAAAATTATAGTTTCATGGAACAATTGTCAAAAGTAATCAGAGCAATCTTTTTTTATGTTGCCTAAAGCTCTGTGCAAAATGCAAGCAGAAACTAAAGAAGTGTAACTACCGTGGTTACCCAGCCATTTTTAACATCTTATGTACATCATGTTGTTGGGAGTTGTGCTTGCTTTGAAGTCCAAAGCTTATGTCACAACAAATTACTGCTGCCCAAGAATCAGTTTGCAAGTCAGTATGATCTAATTTTTGGCAGATACATAAAGATTTATGTAAGGAAAAGATAATAAAGGCATCTTTTGTATTATGACATATGGGCCTTTCAAGTTGTTTTGATAGTTACAAGTCTGAAACAAAATATCCAAAGCCAACAGACAATCAGTACACATTTTAGAAAAGAACCTTGTCATAAAGACATGACAATGTTGACAATTTGATCTTCTGAATCAAACACTAAAACAACTGTGGTGCATGTCATGATAATCCTTCAGAGAATACAGCTAGCCCATTTCTGGACACCATCCATTGCAACACATTCAAGCACTTAAGTACTTTACATCTATTATCCCAATCAAAAATGTTTGTTGAAGTGAGAGAAGCAATTACTCAGTTTCAGTTCAAATAAATTCCGTTGGCATAAGCAAGGTACTAAAGATTAAGTTTGATTAACTCAAGTTAATCAAGTTCTCTGAAGTGAGATGGCTTCAAGTTCTACATGCTGCTAGTTGGCTCTGTGCCATTTAATTATTTACCACTGTTTCCATTTTCACCATCTTTTCCGGAGCTGGTAAGTTACTTATTAATTTTCCATTTGAGCACACATGAATTCTTAAACCACTTTCTACATTTGTTTTAACAGGACAAGTATAGGCTACTTCTAATTTAAGTTCAATGTCTTCTACTTTTAAAGCCTAAATAGCTGTTCTACTTCCTTTTTTGAATGTTTAAGTGAACTCCTGCTAATATTGTAAATACTATTTTTGGATAAAAAGATGTTTCTTTACATCAAATACAGAACTTGTAAATATTATTCAAAAGATTTTTACACTATGAATGTGTAACACATGTGAGGAGTGTAGGTCAATTGTAAGCAAAATCCTATTAATATATCTGAAAGTTGGAATGTTACTTCTATGCTCCACGTATGAACATGTACTGCCAAGACAAGCACTACTCCAGAACCTACGCACATACAAAACCTGCACTGTACAGAGCCACTGAAATCTGATTCACAAAATGTCAGGACACAGTGTACTGGGCCTAGAAGCATATGGCAAGCATTTTTCTCTCTTTCTCGGTTGTGTGTTTTCACTAATAAATATGGTATTTTTAGAAAAAACCTCTGCTTTTTGCCATCTGTGTGTCCTTAGGCAATTAATTGCTGTAGTGTAACTTCCATGTATGTATGATTGCAATTATGTCTTTTATAGACTGTTTTGATATTGGATGAAAACCAGTATAAAAAGATTATAACTGTTCTCATTGTTCAGCCATTATGCATTTTGCAATGAGATGATTTGTGGAACATCTGTCCATTTAGAGGACAAAGAGAAAATGAGACAGACAACCCCTGTGTCACCATCTCACTCAGAACAGCCAGCAGGGGAGGCTGGTTCCAAAAGCAGAGCGAAACGCAGCGCAAGGCAAGCACCAAAACTACAGAGGACTGGCTTCAGCATACACGCAACGCAGGAGCTGAACAGACTGAGGGAGATCAGGGTAGGCATGAAAACAAGAGAAAGGGACAGTGAACTAAAACACAGAGCCTGCACGAGAGTGGCTTGTCAAAAGCCAAGATTTGAGATTCAGTTATTCCTGACTTGTGGGGGTTGTATCTTAGAGAAAATTTCATCTTGACAAATATACTGAAAAAATTAAGTATTAGTTACAGTATGTCAGGAAACTAAACTTTCATGTGCAAGTTGTATCTAAACATTCTAGAAGTGTGGCTTGGGCTGTTTTTTAATTTATTTTTGCAGTTATATCTGGTAAGCATTAAGTTTTTGACTGATTTTTTTCAGCATACATGGAAAATAATTCTTACCTTGTAGGAACAAAATCTTGCAGCCAGAAATAGGAGATCAATGTTGAAAGTATAATAGAGAGAGAAGTTGCAAATCCCTTTAAAATGTTGTCCGCATATTTTATAACAGCAGCAATCACCAGCCCTCCAAGTGCCTGAAAAATATTGAGGTTTGGATTTGCAATCTGATAATTCCACTGAAAGCACCTATTTTAACAACATGCGCTTACTTTAGGAAAAGTTTTAGTCTATGTTTAGGAGCATTAAATTTATTTTATGTTATGGATATGCATTGTTGAAGATAAATATTGGAGGGGTTCTTCTTTCCCCATTGTTGATCAAATCACCATCATTAAATTAGTGGAAATGCTTGTACTATACATTTTTATCCACAGGAGGAAGGGCATGTATTTTTTTTTTTAAACTGCAAAAGAAATAATGCTACCATGCTTTTATGTTGCACAATACTTAGTCACATACTTGCTATATATTTTCCAGGTTTTTATTTAGAGGTTTATTCAATAGTGATAGATCTGACTTTTGACTATAGAATTCTCAGTGGCTTCAATGACACCCATTAGTTTCCCCAGACATTCATAGAACTGTGAATCCCAAGTGCCTTCACAGATACAAGGTTTCTCACCTGTAGAACAACAACTATCCAAGTAAGTTTATTGTATCCTTGAAAAAATCCATTCTTTGACAGTTGTTCTCCATCATAAATGTATACACCCATCAGTCCAAATATGCTACCAAAAAATCCTGAAAGTACAAGATTGATTTAAAAGCTTCAGGTGAAAAGCATATAAACAGGTTCCTTGTCCTCAAGGACAGATCACATATAGGCAATTTTAAAATAGGACTGCTACTTGCAATACTATCATGTTCAAATGCAATCAGATACTCTCTTTTAAAAGCTATCTTCCACATTTATGACAAGTTTTGACTGTTTCCATTAGGACATTCTTATATACTTATCTTCCATTGCTTTCTACTGGAATGAGGTGATTTTCATTTACGGCATATAGCAAAATTCACTTAAACAGAACGCCAGTTTTCCTGAAACTAGTCATGACTGAAGAATGTTTTGGAAGAAATCATTGATTTTTCAACAATTATGAATGTTTAATTGGAAATTGTTTCAGATATCTGCACTGTTGCCCACAAAAACACTTTTAGCATGCAAATTGAAAGTAATAATAATCATCTCCCCTTGGCAACATATTTTTAGATTGTAGCTCCATCCAGAGCACCATATCTTACCTTAAACGCTGGACCAAGCCCCAGCTACCTACCCTTCTTTGCCTCCAAAATTCCCTAGTGTAACCCTTCCTGATGTATCCCCTACATCCTGTTCAAGAAAACTTAGTTTTAATATACACAATTTCAATAAATACTAGCAGCCAGTAAGTAGAATTTTTGATCCCCTTCTCTATCCTCAAGTTTCAAAATATTATGGACATGCAAAAACATTAAAATAAAATAAAAATGCAGTTCTGCATTTTTACCTGAAACCATTTATAATTAAAACACAGCAACAGGAAAAGAAAGGAAAAAATATTGCTTGTATTCAGACTTTTTTTGACCATATCAGTTTTTGACCAACTGCCTATTACAGAAAAACACACCATCTCCTGTTTTTATGGTACTTCATTGCATTCTACCAGACTCAGTACATAACCCTCATCCACTAAATCATCCTCATGACTTAATTCTACAGTACTGTGGATTTGATCAAGAGTCCATTTTAAGGTACTGGAGAATTCAAATTCTGCTGAAAGCACTTATTCAAATATGCAATAAATAATTATTGCCTACAGGTGAAGACTAGAGGGATTCCATCAGGGAAAGCAGGGCAACTCCAATAATAAGTTTTGTTTCTGTTGCAAAACAGGAACAAAAAGATATTGCTGATGTCACATTTCCAACCCTATAAACTGCACAAGATTGCTTTGAAGTGAGGGAAAACTTATGTAGGAAAATGGATCAACTCTGTCACCATTAATACCTAGGGTCTAGAAGACCCAGAACTACTTTGGAAATTGAAGGTATTCTCTTACCGATAAATGCACAATAGGTAAGGGCATTAAAATAGTTAAGATGAACTGTCTTTTGCATATGCCTCTTTCCAGTGATTATACAGACAACTAAGTTATACTGAAATAATAGTAATTCATTACCTCAACTTTATTCATAAAGCAGGTTTTTTTGTGTTTAAAGTGCCAACCTATAAAAACTGCCTACCCAGACACAAGAGAAAAAAAATGTTAATTTTTAAACATCTTAAAACATTGATTTAGAAACATACTTTTTAAAATGTTTCTATATTCTTTAAAAAATTTTTTTAAAAAAGGAAAAATTAATACTATTTATATTTATCAGACCTTATGAATGAGTGCAAAAGACAGTATTTTTTAAACACAGAGGATATATAAAATTCTGCATAAGATAACATTCTTTAGAAAATTTTAAATACAAATTCAATCGACAGATTCTGGACAAACTTACAGTCTATAAGCAAGTTAAATCAAGAACTAGGTTGAGATCAGAAAGCAACTTCTAGAATTCTATCTAGCAGAGTTTATACTCTTGGTTTTAAAAGTACATTTAGGCAGAACACTAAATTGTTGGTGATATTTTTTGTTTATATATATAATTTTGGACATTTATCTTAATTCTTCAGAATGCAGTATCTAAGAATTTACTAAAATTAAACTTACCAAGCTGAATGTTTCTGATCCACACAGACTGCTTAGTTTCCTTTAAAATTTTCTCAAAATAAACCCCAGCAAATCCACTAGAAAAGCATGCTATAAGAACTGCAATCAGGCCTACAAACTGAGATCCTGCTGATTTTTTATGTTCCTTAGCAGCTGTTGCTTGAGAGTCTGAAGGCCACTGGATGTAAAAACAGTTATACAAAATTCACTGATAAAATCAAGTCATGAGCATCTATAAAATGCAAATTTCATTTCTAGCAACAGTAACAGTTACTAAATACAGACAATCACATGCTTGTAAAGTTTTATATTTTGCACCATAAATACTTTTAAAGGATTGCAAAGCCATAATTTTTCTTTCTACACATTTGTAAGGGCTAAAATTGTGCCTGAAATGGAAGAATACCCATCAGTTTAAACAGGTCCAGGACTTCTGTTTTGTAAGCCAGAACCGTTTCTGAACCCCAGCGTGACTTAACATGGTCATTCACAATGACCAAGTTTTGCCACCCGACAGTTAGTTACCTCACAAATATAAGCACAGTTAGAAAACCACTTATACTAATTGTCTTTACGATGGAATGAATTGTCTTTTGCATGTGCCCCTCTTCAGTGATCATGCAGATGACTAAAATAAGCTGAAATTTATTAAGCTAAATCCTGCAATATATCTAATGCTAACAGAATAAAACACAACATCATACACAAAAACATAGTGAAGAGTCTGTTAATTACAATCAGAATGTTTTGTTGTCATTTTAACTACTAAATTTGAAAATGCTATAAAATTTAATCCTCAGAATTTTTTTCAAATCCTTAAGTTTTAAAATAAAAACTTCTAGGATATGCTAAAATCTGCTAAACATTTTTACAATAGTATCTTATCCCATGATACTACCCTCTGAAAACTACAAACTCCTGTACCTCCACTATTTAGAGCAGAGGCCAAGTCTGCCTCCTGAAAAAGTTCAAGTAAATTTGCCATGATGAAACTGTTATCACAAGGTGAGAAGCAGGACTGTGCTGGCATAGACCTGTGAATTCCTGACATCTGAAGAACTGTGCTAATAAATACTGCTGTCACTGTTATTTGCAGGTGGCTCCAGAGGCCCTGTCACATTCTACTGTAAAGCACTGGGACACAAAAGAAGCGTTATCTTCTGCCTTTGCACCATTTCCAGTGTCCTCTAGCCCTGGTGAGTTGTGATTCGTAGCTCCCAACCATACTCTGGTGCTCATGTGCAGCTGATAGGATCAGAAAGCTGTGTAATCAGTATAGAAATCCATGTTCCTTGAATAAACACATTAAGTAAATAACAAACCACCTGTTAATATTTACCTGCACAAATGCCACTCCTGTCATCAATATTACTAATGAAAGCCACTGGTATACACCCAATTTCTTGCTCAACATGGACACAGAAAACAAGGCTGTAGTAAGAATTTTCAGTTGATATGTAACCTAGAAGAACCCAGAAACAGTTACTACCACAAAATTCACTGTGTTTTTTTTAAACTTCCAGAGAAATCTAAATGCACAATACCTGGTATGTGGCTGCATCTAGGTTTGACAATGCTACATACAGCAAGTTATTCTGAAGAGTATAAATTCCTGAAGGAATAGCAAGTTTAAGAGTTTCCATGGGTTTATTAAGGATTTCATCATGTAGCACTCTGTTCAGAGTCCGTAAATTGCACTCTACCCAACGAAACAATAAAAGAAATAGACATTCACTAAAAGGAGAAGGGGTGGGGGAAGAGAGAAATAGCAATGTTCTGTTCTTAAAGATTGTTGCCCACTTTTTATAGCTATCACTGCTATCAAGACCTCAAAATACTGTCTATGTTTGACTTTCATGAGCCTCGTATATGTAAGAAAAAGAGGCTGCAAAGTATCTTTCTGTGGCCTGGAATATCAGAACTAGAACAATTATTCAAAATACTTTAAGTAAAACTTATTGAAACCATATTGATATTTCAAGATGATATATTAAAGAGTATCACCTAAAAAGTGCACATTTAGAAGCCTACAGTCACCAATATTGATGCATATACAATGATATTTTTAAGCTTTTAAAGATCAAATATATATGTCAAGGAACTGTCTAAAGTCAGTATAAAATGTACGAAATAAGAACTAGAGTAAATCTGAATATACTTTTTTTGAGCTTAAAACTGTGTTTCCTCCCCAGTTGCATCTGCTCTTTATTATAGACTTCTAAATTATCCTTCATGCTTCGGACACACTTAAAGCTTTTATTTTTTTTGTACTTCTCCATACAAATTTCTTAAAATGACTGAGCAAACACAAGCTTCAAGCTGTTGGTAGAAAATACATTCTTGCACTCCTCATTCTTTAAAGAGAACTCTCTTCAGCAAATATACAATATCTTGTATTATGTGTTGAGGAGTGAAGTATGATTAGTGCCTTTCCAAGACTATTTCTTACATGAGAAGGGAAATGCTTTGTTGTATGCCTGTACTCACATGACTGCTTTGCAGTTGCCACTACAATACAGCTTTTTGATTAGGAAAATTACTTGGTGCAAAATTTGACACATACTGTTGTCTTTGTAGACCAACAGAACACAGGCCAAAATCTTCAGAAGTTCAGCAATAACTACTGCAGTAGAGGATAAGTAACGAGGTCCTTCTTCTTTCAGTGTCCGAGAATAACGCATGGTCAAGACTAAACTTGTGGTCTGAAAAACCAGGATGCCCAAGGAAAGGTATTTTAAATTGGTAGACATTTCTTGACTTTTTTCTTCCTGAAACAGAAAAAAAATCAAACCCAGACTTAAAAGGTAATATTGCAGATAGATGCTTCCCTTGGGAATCAGCATATTAAAAAAAGTTATCCAGGGAGCTCAGCCAAAGGAAAGCAACAAACCTAATCCGATATTTAAAAAGAAAAAGGAGATTAACACTTTCAAAATGTTTTTCAAATACATGATTACTAATGGGGAAGCATATCAGAATATTTGGAGAAGTGATAACTAACAGAGAAATGAAATGAAGTATTTCTTATCTGTAATAACAACAACATAAAATAAGAACTATCAACTGATAATAAGCTTTCCAATAACTGGTTTCACAAAGGAGTCTCCCAAGTTAAATCAATCATGGATTTCTTTATGTAGGTTAAGGCTCAGAAGGTATTTTCAAAGCAAAAAAGCCCCACAATGTGGTACTGCAGAATGCCCAGTACCCTGCTGCAATGAGCTATTCCCAGAATGACGAGATCTTCTCATTCTTCCACCTCTCCAAAGTTTTTTAGGTTGCAGTCTCTGCCTTGCCAGATGACACAGTGCCAGCACAAGACAGGGTGAGGGTTGGGCTGTGAATTTAAATGAAAATGAGAGTTGTGGGAAAGCAGGGTTGGATAGGAAGACATGGGATGGAGGAGCTGCAGGGGAGAGAGCACTAAACCTGTCCTGCTAAACATCCTGCTCAGAAAAAATTAGTTGAATATAGATGAGTAGGTGATTGCACCTACTTTCTCATACTGCACTGACTTAACACAAAACTTACATTATTAAAGCTCATCTCCACCATTCAGCAAGCTGATGGGGTTTTCTTTGCCCCGTCACCAGTTAAAGCACTAGCTTAGTGCAGGAGACTAACAGAGACAGCAATTTTCATTTTGCAAGCACAATATATTACAAGGAAATTAAAAAATGCATCACTGCTATTCAGAATATTATATAAATTTCTGCTATCCTTCATATTAAGAATTCTCATATACACAGAAATGAATGCTTTCTACAAAAAATTTGCTACTGCCTACACTGACCACATATTCTAAACCAGAGCAGTGTTTTATAACGCCAAAGTAAAATCAAATCAGTAATTTAAAGTTAACAAATATGTTTTCAAGTAAAAGAAAAACAGTAACAAGTCAAGACAATGAATGCAGTTCTCACTTTTAGAAGTCTAGAGATGGCATAAGCAGTACTTATTGAATGCATATGCCAGAGCTGTCCCTACGCATGTTTTACACCTACAGGCACACAAGTTTTGACTCATTAACTATCCAGTTTTGTACACACTGCTGAAGGATGTGTTGGTACCTCTAAGTATTTGTAGCTGAAACTGAAGCTGTTTCTTGCTGCCTGAATTTCTCTAGTTCAAGATGCATTTCATAACAGTTTTCACTGCTATTTTTTCAAAGATATGGAGAGCTGTTCTATTCAAGTATTTCTGACTTGCCTTTATCTTGTCTCCAAGCATTAATAGATTTTCTCCAGTCAAGTATACAAAGTCAAATTAATACCTATATGGCACAGATACTTAAAGAGACATTGCAGTAACCTGCAAACAAACATGAATTGCCAACAGCCACAGAGATATGAAGTACATACTTGTATCCTGCACAATAAAATTGTTTACCTCAAGAATCATCTGGCTGTAAAAATATTTGTAGAAGCATATTGGCAAAAGGAGGAAGGAAATAATGCCAGGATGCAGAAACTGAGGAAGAAACATGCGGATTCTTAATAGAAGATACTTTTGTGTAAACTATGGTCTCATTTAACTCACTGAAGAAACAAATACTAAAGACACAACTGCACTGGACAATATACATCAGACAGAAACGTAAAGCACAAAGGAGAAGAAAGCTGCAGACAACATCCAAGATTTGCTAACTTTTTTCCACAGGTTCTGGTGGAATAATCCTTTACATGAGGATGTTAACTGTGGAATTATGCATCCCCAGCAACAAAATGGAGATCAGTTAGTCAAAGAGGAACGTCTTTGAAGAATAGAATTGCTATAGCTGAGAACAAGGAGGAGAAACAGAGGAATAGTTCCTGCGAAGGCATGAAAAGAGGACATGCAAGGTCAGAGATCATACTCTGGAGAAATAGCAGCAGCATAAAGATAGAGGGAGATAAGGGAAAGCAAGGAAAAAAAAATCCACTTAGAGAAAATACAGAACTGAATTTCATGAAAAGGTCCGCCTATTCCGCTGGAGAAAACTGACGTTGCAAAATGCACATTTATGTGAGCCAACCCGCACAAACAATTTCTTCTACCTTTTCCATCCACTTCTCTTTTCAGTATTGAGATCTGACAATCTGGAAACACGAAGAGGTTAAGATGAACAACACTAAATTTCATGAAAGCACACTTACAGCTAAGTACATTTTTAAACTTTTTGGTTTTCAGTTTTCAAAATGCTTCTGAAAAAATACAGATAACGGAAACACACACCTCTCCTGAACTCAATTTCTGCATTCTGTGAGCCTGTGAAGTGAAAAAGGGTTTTACAAACGTTCAAAATTCTCAGAGTTCAATTCCTTAACCTTCAAAATAGGTCACAATATCAAAAAATAATGTTCACATGAATTTCTTGTTGAAATAAAACCATCTATTTACTAAGCAGCTTAAAATGTAATTTAAAAAGTAAATCACTAATACCTTGTTTATGAACAAGTATCAAAGCATCAATCATGAAATCATTCCAACAACCACAACAGTTTAATAAGCACATCAGCAAAGCCATAACGAATACATACCACAATATTATCTTGACCTACAGTCTTGTCTTCATTAGTAACCATGATAAAAAAAAGGGAACTTTCCCCAGACAATGTGTCTCAAAAAGGTGCCAGCAGCAGGAAACATTTCTCTACCATAATTCACTAAAGCAGTTTCAGGGTTTCCAAAATTCACACATAATGGACTTTAAGTGTCCAGTGTGATTGCTGAAATAAGAATATTTGTTAAAAGCTGTCCTGTCAGTGGACAGGCTTGTAGACAGCAAGCGTGTGAGTTCATGCTGTACTTACAAATAGTTGGTTCACTGAGCAGGAAAGTCCTGAAACTTGCGTATGCCAATAAAATAACCACCCTCTACTGAGCACACATGATATCTTATCAGCTCTCCTAGTCCCTGTTCCATTCTTTTAAAAGAGCTGCATATCAGTTTGTAGAACTCAGTGCAAGCTGGGGACTGGATCCAGAAAAGGAGCCAAGTTCTGAACTTCAAACAGTTGAACTGTCTTCAAGCGCAGTTTCACAGCAGGTTTAGATTTACAGAGTACTACCAGAGGTATAAACGCTCTCTTCTACCCATGAGTTCCTGCTACCTTCACTGCAACAGACTGTGCAGTCATATACTAAATGAACTACTGTCTTCAGTAACAGCCCACACTTCAATTGTCTTAAACCAATAATGAAATGGAAGTTCCCAATGCATTTCCTGTACAGAGTTAAAACCAACTTCTTACTGGGCTTTGGACAGACTATTCAGTACTCTGCAGGATGCATCTGTTCCAAAACTCAGATTTAGGTTTGCTAATTCAAAGCAAGTGAAAGTTGAGTGGTCACATTAACTCAGTGACTTTTGAACTGTATCTTACAGTGAGAGGTGCCAAGTACCTGTAACCCATTGACTGTAATGTAGCCTATCACATCTATTAACTCAGTGACTAGGCTCATTATTCTTTTTTTTTTTTTACCTAGACTAACAGAAGTAAATGGATTCTGCATAGTTTATTCAGTGTACCATGCAGACCCACCCTACAGCCAGCAATACGGAAAGCAGGGGAATAGGTTAAAGCCAGGTCTATATGGGAAGTCAACATGCAGTAAGCCAAGATGGTATTTACAGCCATGTAACATTCGACTTCAGTACACACAGGTGGATAAAATGCAGATGGATACTACCTGAAGAGTTGTTCTCCTTAAAAGTATAAAGGAAGATGACCCTGGAAAGGTTTTATAGACTCGGAAAACAAACCAAAACAATCTACACAGGAAATAATCCCTTCAGCTCACAGTAACCATACTGTGCAAAGTCTGAAAAATACCTGTTCAAAGGAAGTAGAATTTTTTAAAAGTGAACAATCATGTTTCCATTTCATAATATTCATTCAGACACAACGAATACATTTCTGACTTGCAGATTTTCATCTCCCTTATTAATTTTCTCCACCACAGGCTAAAATTTCATGGTTTACATTTTATTTTTATATTGTCCCTACACTTTCCCTCCTAAAATACTGCTAAATTCTAATGCTTACAGATGAAATACATTAGGCCAGAAGGAACATAATCAGTTTGACATAATGAGCAATAAACATACCATATATATTTTATCTTCCTCTATCCATCCTTAACAAAACTCACTAATATTAATCATATTAATACTACATGAGCAACAAGAAGATTACAGGACTTAACCTTAAGATATTTGTCTTTTAAAGATCTGATGGTATAAACTTTTGAACTTCTCAGCTGCTAAATACCTACAGTAACAGAATCTTGTGCAAAATCAGGGATTAGTTTATGAATTTATCCTATTCTTATATTTGTAGGAGGTCTCAAAATCTGACAATTACTTTAGTTTGAGGTATCTAAAACACTGAAAAAAAGAGAACTCTAGAAGGAAATGTGACTAATCTCTTTTAAATACTCTTTAGTTAAAATCAGAGATTGTCTTGAGACATTTTGCAAAGATGGTTGGAGTTATACTGCATATTATGGAGATCCTTCCAGCAAGCATGGCCTAACACCATCTGCAAGAACAAAAGAGCAAGGGCAGCTCCACAGATCCAGGCACTCCCAAAATTTCACACCATGCTGATACAAATACATTAAGATAAAGTGAGCACAGAACTGTTAAGACTCAACTTTGCCTAACATCAAGTATTTAGTTGATTAGCATGTTTTAAACTCATTGAATTTTAAGGTTGGGGTACCTTACATTTTCACATATTATTTTATAAATAAAAAAGATTATAGTTCTTGCACAAATGATCCAAATTTCATTTATTTGACTGTGCATTTCTCCCGCATCAATTACATTGAACGCTCTTTCACTATCCCAAACTATCCAGTATTCTCCATTATATTTCATTAATTCAGCCTGAACTACTAAGAAAGCTTTTCTTACAGTCACTGCAGCTGACTCACTTTTTATTATATTCATTAAATTTAATTTTTCTTAAATTTCTGAAACTTCAAGAGAATATCAGAGAAAACTTGGAAAAAAGAAATCAGCATCTAAAACCACCCAAGCACTCAACACTATCTCCAGAAGTAGCTAACACAACAAAAAAAAGCAATTAACAATTAATTCCAATAAGTCACATAAAAAAAAAGCAGATTAAATTCACAGATTTAAATAACAACAGCCTCTCTGTCAAATGACTGAGCAATCCACAGTAAGTGTCCTGCATGCAATTACTACCAGGTAACAGATGTGACAGGCTACGTCACAATCAACAAGTTGCAGGCACTTAGCCCTCTCACTGTAGGATACAATTTAAAAATCGCTTAAAATAGTTTCGGGGTACCTATGGTCATGATGTCGATAAATCAAGGTCCACCTACCCCTGAAATAACTTTGGAACAAGTCCATACAGATAAAATGAGAGGAATTCATGACAGAGGGAAGGTAAAACATACCACTGGTTTAGGCTCCCATCCTGCAATTTACACCTCACTGGCAGAGGTGCTAGCTCTTATTCCATTTTATGATTAATGAGTTTTAAGACTGCTTTACCAAACAAAAGGCACTTGCACATTAGTTAAAATACAAAGCCAAGCAGAAGCAGACAACCAGCCTCTAAAAACTGCAAAAGGCAAAATTTAAGTTTTGTGTGCCAGTACACCAAGTTCTATGTCTGGCATCTGCCAGAAAATAAACACTGATTGAGTCTGTCTTACAGAAGGAAAAACAGAGCGGAAAGTAAAGTACACCGTTTCAGTGGGGCAGGTATGGACTGGGCACTTCCTGGGCATTTGCTTTGAAATCTGATAACAGATTAAAGAGACAGGATTTTGTTCTCCTATTTCTCAAATGAAATGTGAGCCCAGTGCTGATGCTACACCTATACAAATATAATAAGCTGGCAACAAAGCGGGAGAGCACAATTGCAAGGAGGAGCAAGAGCCAGCTCACAGAACCTGAAGAACCTATTTTTATAAGACTTCCTTCTATGCTTTTGCACATGCATTTCCCTCTTCCCTGTGCTGGATAACACACAAGTAACGTGCTACTTTCTATAACACAATTATAATCCTCAGAGGAAAGATCTGCTCCATAAATCTTTCTATTGGACTCAATATAGCCACCTTTTCACCAAAAGTAGTAGCTAATACAGCAGATAGAAATAAATGGATGGAAGGAATCTCATGAAGTTTAACAAGGCCAAGTGCTAGGTCCTGGACATGGGCTGGGGCAATCCCCAGCATCAACACAGACTGGGAGATTAATGGATGGAGAACAGCCCTGCACAGCACTTGGGGGTACTGGGGGACGAAAAATTGGACAGCAGTCAGCAATGCGTGCTTGCAGCCCAGGCGGCCAACCATATCCTGGGCTGCATCAAAAGAAACACGGTCTGCAGGTTGAGGGAGGTGATTCTGCCCCTCTACTCTCCCCTCATGAGACCCCACCTGGAGTCCTGTGTCCAGCTCTGAAGTCCTCAGCACAAGAAAGACATGGACCTGTTGGAGTGGGTCCTGAAAATGATCAGAAGGATGGAATATCTCTCCTGTGAAGACTGAGAGAGTTGGGGTTGTTCAGACTGGAGAAGAAAAGGCTCTGGGGAGACATTGTTGTGGCCTTCCAATATATAAAGGGGGCTTTTAAGAAAGACTTTTGAGAGAGATTTTTCACTGGTGCCTGTAGTGTCAGGACAAGGGGTAATGGTTCTAAACTGAAAGAGGGTAGACTTCAATTTGATATAAGGAAGAAATTTGTATGATGAGGGTAGTGAGACACTGCAACAGGTTGCCCAAAGAAGTTGTGGAAGTCCCATCTTTGCAAAGTCAGGTTGGACAGGGCTTTGAGCAACCTGATCTAATGACAGATGCCCCTGCCCATGGCAGCAGGGGGGTGGAACCAGATGATCTTTAAAGGTTCCTTCCAACCCAAATCATTCTATGATTCTATGATAAATATCCCAGATGGTACTGAAGGTGCATAGAGCTTTCCAAATCTAGTAAGTGCTGCTGAGCTGGATTATGAACAAGATTTTACATACAGATGAATATTTTAACTGCCAAATTTTGACTGCTATCATTCAAAAATGCATTTCTTTCTCTCCCCATCCCCTCAGTTATGTAACCTTTTATGTCTATATAATTTTTTTTAATAAGGCATAATATTATAAACATTTCTAATCATCTTAAGTCTTGTATTTCTCACTTTAAAATATCATTATCAATGTTTTCCATCTTCCTCATACTTGATACAGGTTTCTTCTCTGTTCCCTCACATAAAGTATCTATAATTATCAGCTGTTCCTCCCCAAATACATGGCACTTTTCAACTACACTACTGCAAATCACTTCCTCACTTTAAAGCTTACCTTGCTCCTCTTATTTTTCAGTTTGTTACTCATTCTTCTTGCTGGATACATTAGAATGCTTACTAAGTACACTATGGAAAAAATAAGCTATGTCTTTCTTAAAGTTTGTATTCTTCAGAATTCTTCAGAAGCATTATTAAAAGTGAAATGTTATTAAAAGCAAATCCTTTAGCAAAGTTTTTTCCTTACTCTTCTAGGAGAAACTGAGTAACAAAGATCTTTTTTTCACATGAAGGTTTCCTTCAGGCAGTATTTTCAATTTCTCCATTTACATTAAAAACATTCTTAACTGGTGAAAAGAGTTAAATGCATCACTGCATTCAAATAATATTTTCATGACAAGGGTATCAAGCACAACACAGTAGAACACCAGTGGACGTTGCTCCTGCAATGTCATCTAGCTCCCTATCACAGCCCTATCTCAGCCTCTTGAAAATCATGCAGATACTTTCCAGCACTGGCAAGTGCAATTTAATGTGTAACTGCTAAAGATCAACCAATGATTTCTTCTCAGCTTTGCTCCAAAACCCTAGGCTTTGCCCAGGATAGTAGTAGCTGTATCAGCTCAGTCAGGAAATTCCACCATTGCCAAGTCTAACAACGGCAATGCAATTGCATATTAACTAATGTCTAATTTCAGACAATGCTATAAATTGCTTGGGAGTCAGGTGAGGTTTTTTTACAGGTTAACAGAAAACCTAGCAGAAAGGGAACTTAACACTGCTGAGTTTTTTGATGATCTCACAAAGGTGGGTGGTTTTTTTTCTTTTTTGTTTGGGTCGGGGGGAGGGGGAATCACTATTCTAATCTATGTATTAAACAGGAAAAGTTGGGCATTGTGAAGCTTAAATGTGAAATTCGTGGCTAAATACTCTTTAAGTCCACCCCCTTTATCCTTTACACCAAACCTAAGAATGCAAAGATAAGATTTCTTTGACTAATGAGAATTTAGTTTTATGAATATTAAAGAAATCACGTATTGAGTATAAATATTCAGCGTTCAGGCAATTCGGGCCCTCATTGAGCTAAACCTAACACCAGTATTACTTGTAAGATGAAGACTTCAACTATGTGCACAGTAGTGCAATAGTTTTATATTGACATAACAGTCATTAAGCCAAACTCTGCCTGCCAGCATAGAAATTTGATACAACCTGCCTTAACCGCCTCTCTCTTTTTCAAACAGTACATACACTGCATTCATTGTATAGATCACAGTATAAAGTCCTCGTAGTCACATTCAGATTCTGTGAGCAAGGAGGCATTCAGTTCTCAGTTTTAGTTCAAATGCCCACCCCTCCTCAAGCATACAGGAGTGCAATGCCATAAACTGAAGCACTGCCCAAAGGCAACTCCTGCAGATGTAGCAAGTCCATGAAGGAGCTTGATTTAAGGTGCTGAAAGGCTGAACACTGAATACAGCCGGGGTTCAGCTACAGCTTACGCTTAGGCTATTTATGAATTACTAATCAAGTCTGGGTGCTCGAGGCAATGCAGCCACTCTCAGTCAAGGTGATCTAGTTTGAGTAGAGTAACACAAACTAGATACTATAGTGAAAATAAATCTGTAGTCACTTATTGCATAAAGCTAATAATTACAAATAAAATTAAGACATCTGAACAGTGTACTGAGGGGTATGAATAAGACAAGTAGGTTCAAAAATTAATGGGAAAATCCTGAACTCCTAACCATCTTCCATTATTATAACAGATCCTAAGAGGTACAGACCTTAGGGACCTATCCTCCCCTCTAGAGACACCCTCAATTGATGTGATCCAGCTGTGCGGCCTCCCGAGTACCAATGAAGGCACTGAGCTGGTGCAAGCAGCATGCATATGGGTACAATCTGAAGCAATTGGTGAAGAATAAGCCCAGGTGGCAAGCAATTCAAGAAAAAAAGAAAGAGGAATAACTATATCTAGCAAGCCTATCCAAAAGATCAAGTATGTGTTGCCCTCACTTAACACTGCCAAATCTGGAACTGTTTTAAGCAGACACATGTGATTTGATTTCCCTAGGCAGCTGGTTCAGATGATCCCTGCCTTTTTCTTGCTATTGCAAACAGCAGCATAACTAGCATAAAGAGTTAGACTGTGTAGACAGCCCATAGGGGTGATTCTATGTCTTCAAGAATCCTAACAATACATTGTTCTAAATAAAGCAAATTTATACTTCACCACCACAGTCTTTCCTCAACCCAGTATTTTCGCTACACATTCTACTTCTACATACCAGAACATCACGCATCCCAAACCAATAGATCCTTATCTCCCAGAACTGTTGTTTTCACTCACAAGTTCTCACAATGCCTAACAATGTACAAGGGAATCATGAGCTGCAGTTTCTAAAGGAAGAGGTTATTGTAAAACAGCTTCTCCACAACTATCACCTCCCACAAACTCACCCTGCAGCCTCTAAAGAAGTTTGACATTGCTTATTCTTTTATACAAGAAAAGCATGCATCACAGAGCTAAGAGTCTACCCTAGCAGATGGTCTATAGAGCAACAGTTTTTGTGGAGCAGGTCCTGTGTACTAACTTAACAGAGGAAAGCTGAACAGGTCAGGCGCAACTCAGTCCACGTACAAAGAGTTCAGATAAGTCAAGTACAGTGCCTATGAAGAAAGACAACACCACAGATTTTGGGAGAAGCAGTCTGTCACCTAATGTTCATTCTAAAACCTATTTTGTCAATTTGCACATACGTTCTTTGAAGAGCAAGGGTTCCTTAGATCCCAACCCTCCTGTGTAGAGGCCACCATGACAGATAAGCATCCCACTATGGTGCTCACTCAGTTTTAGAAAGGTTTGTTGCATATGGTCTTTAAGTCCTAAATAACACATCCCTCTTGCACAAAGCAGTCAGAGTCTTCTGCACCCCACCATCCCTTAAAAATCCTTTCTCTGGTATCCAAGTCTTCCTCACTCTGATTTAAAGTACAGTTTATAGGAATCAATGAAATCAAACAACTTGGAGTACCTTTTCGTGTTTATCTTTTACCTTCCAGTCTATTGCATAATATGTATTGTGCATCTTCCAGTTTTCTGACTTAATCCATAAGCTTTATACTGCTAAAATGTTTCTCATTTCAAAAACCCAGTATGAAATTGTGATGCCGTGAAAATACTTGTAAAGTGTGCATTTCTGTTAACTTCACACACAGCACTACATCAAGCAGAGCGAGCACCTTCCCTCCAGAGCACCAGCCGCACCTACACCGAGAAGAAACCCTGCAAGCGAGCCACCACCTCATCAACAACACAGCTGCTGACCAGATCCGTGTGCCTTCCCAACTTCACCTTCACCCCTCCCCTCCCTCTTGCCCAGACCATTCCATTTACAGACATTTCTCTCAGTACCTCCTCAATCCCACTCCTCCCCTCTTCAGCCTTGCTCCCACAGATCTGCTTCCCACCACATCCACCAACCCCAAACGTCCCCCCCTCCCACACCAAAGGCCTCCCTCAGGCTTCTTCCCTCATCCCTAACCCTTGCACCGCTCCCGCCAGGGCAGCCTCAGCCGGGCTCTGCTCCTCACGGTCCCAGCCCAGGCCTCCCACCTGCAGCCCCCGGCCGGCGGCCCAGCTCGCTCCTCGCTGCCGGCTCAGCTCGCACCAGCCTCCCGGTGTTTCCGGGTGCC